TGCTATTTCAAATTTGAATAACTATTTGAAATAGGGCATATCTTTCTAACTTTGAACACCCTGCATCTTGAAAATTAAATGTTTCTGAACGTTTATAGGAACCTTTTTCGGCATTTTGCAACTTAGAGTTTGCCAAGCATTTTATTTACACCTTGTATATTCTTTTACTAACGAATTCAATATTCAACGATAGGAGAAGTACATATATACTTTGTTAAATTTCTGGTTTAAAAAGGACAGAAAGAATTGAAAAATTTTAGGAGAATGGGAAATATTTATTGCTATAATATACAGCTACTTCACACCAATGAAAATATGGTTTCAAACTGATTAATTGATGGTTCTTTCTCTATAGACACAAATTTGCTTATAGGACGACACATATGTTATATCTCATATTATAGTGCGGACTATTTAAATTAACTAAAACACCAACATTTATATCATACTATTTGAATCACAACATTTGTATAGATTTGTTAGTTATAAAAACCACACTTTCTCACGGTAAGTCACAAACTGCCAACAATACAGACTAAATAATTAACTTTTTAATTTTTTTTGTTCAACAAAAATGTGGTTCCATTTTTTTTTAAAGGGAACAAAGTTCAAAAGAAAAGTAGATCTATTATTCCGGTAATATTTTTAAATATATATACTAAAGTAACTGCATTTTTATATAACTATACAAAATATTAAAAGTCTTTTCATAAGCTCATAATATTTCTACAAATATATATTTTTTAATTCTTAAATTAATATTTCATCAACACTATACAAAATGGAATGAGCAAGCAATGAATCTATAAGTAACACTTTCATAGCTTAAATAACTTGTACTGTAAAATAAATATATATATTTGTTTTAATAGCTGATATGTTACAACTTTGAAAAAGCATTTTATTGAATATGTGAACACTTTTTAGATAAATCCAGAAACCAATAAAATAATTTCTTCCACTTCTAACAGTATAACATAAATCTTTATTTTTACAATTACTGAATAGTACTTATAATAAAGCTTGTCCTAAATTATATATATTATATATTTTTTTGAATCACGTTTTGGTCATTTGCAATCTAAAGTTCTTATAAACATTAAACAGTATCACCTGTTTTTTGGGCTCGGCTTTTATTAAATAAATTATACAAGATGCAATTATATTTCCCCGATATTTGCACTGTAAATCCCCCCATATTCATATAGAATTTAATTCAAATACATGGGACTAGACAATTTTAATTAATACACCTTAAAATATCAAATAAACAACACATATTTACCCCTCACCCAATATCTATTACAAGTTACAACATAAATAATTTAAATAGAGCCTGCTTTGTGTCATATAAATAAAATTTGCATTTGTACCTATAAGTAATAAACATTGCACTGATTTCCTAGTTGCCTACCTATTCCAGACTGAGGAATTTTTGCTTATTCATTACTACTTGCTAATAATGAGCAATGAGTATTTCATGTTACAGCAATATGGGGTTAAGGACAACATAGACCTATATTTAAACACCAATATACATTATAGGCACTCTGTTGGACTAACAGGTAATCTCAAGGTAAACTTTAAATGTAACGAGATTTTTTACTACATTAAAATGACCAATACAGTTTGTGTTAACCAATTTTTTAATGAACTAATCACATCGTTATAATTTTTTTTAGAGTAATTCTAAAAACCTAAAGCGAGTCAAAAATATTTCTTTTCATTACATCATTTCTTCAACCAACACACCCATTTTTATGAAAAATAAGTTGATATTTTAAAATTACATGTTAGTCCACAAAGTGATTTCAGATATATATTTAAATTTCTATTACTCTAACTTGTGCGTATTCAGGATTTTCTTATTACCTTTACGTTGGCACATTTGGAATCATAGTGACAGCATAAATATAAAAAATGTTACAAACATAACGATTAAAGAAAAACAAGGAACCCCGCACAGAAAAGTGGTTTCCGTTAAATTGGCTAAATTTTTTATATGTTATGTCTGCTTGCTGAACAAACGTCTTCATGGGCCCAAGTCCAAAATTCCACGGGTTCCGATATAAGGGCTTTGCGACCGCGACATTTGTTCAGCACACAGAGATACAAAATGTATAAAAAATTATCCAATTTAACAGAAACCACTTTGCTATAAGGATTGTGCGGAGTTTTTATGGAGAAATGAAGAGATTTCCGATGAACATTTCTATAGCGAATTATGTTAAAATGATTTATATACTATCAATAACTGAAAAACTGATAATGGAATTAAAAAAAATCTCATGGTAAATCCTATTATTTTATACTCAAGACAAATATAAGAATAAAATATCAGGATATAACATTCTCATCCGAAACTGCTCAGGTTCTTCAGATATCTAGAATGTCGTAACCTTTTGAATAATTTTATAACTGTATTTTTAGAATCACTGCAATTAAAAAATGTTATTAAATAAAAACAATATTTCCAAACAGAGCAGCCAGTATTAGTCCGAGAGGCAGCGACAGAAATTTTGCACCAGTTCCTACAAACCTAATTTTTTCCCATTTTGTTGTTTTGATGCCGCAAGTAAATGGAACGGCAGTCTACCGCGCCAATATGGGGGCAAACATTAATAACAATTTTTCGAACGTGTAAATAAATAATATGTAAACATCTTATACCTACAAGTGTGAAACTTTTTAGAGTGATCAATTATACCTAAAAGTGCAGTATAATGATAGTCTACCGTGTCGGAAGCGGGGCCATCAAGGGTCTACCACTCACGCAAAACATTGAAAAATTAACTTTTTGACTTATTTCTACAAGGCTGACTTTTTTTTTCCTCATATACTTTAGTTTATAAGAAAACTGAAGAAAACAGTCTACCGATAATCTAAGGGTGTAAAGCCTTGATAGACGCAATGGAATGCACGATCTTCCGAGGGCAGTCGCTGCGCCAATCCGCTGTAAATCGTTCTGAATAATTATTAATTAGTCATATCGGGATTAAAACATACAAAGCTGGTTTTTAAGTAGTTTACGATAATAATTGTCAAATAAACGTTTTCTACCTTCGATAATAATTGGTTAGTTTCAATAGAAGTGGCTAAAATTTTTGTGCGCGAGATTGTTTGAAAAGCCAACCAATGTTCGCTGAGCCCGAATAACAGTAACTTACTGTACCTTTAGTCATTCAGTTTACTTTCAAATTGTTTAAAATTAATAATAAAATCAACGAGATTAAATTGTTATTTAATTTTAAAAAACATACAATAAATTTTGTAAGTAAAAATATAGGATTTAATATTAAATAATTATGAAATTAATATATTGCAGCTGCTTATAATAAATATTATATCTCCTTAATATTGCAACAGTGAAAGCTGTAGTCCTTCAATAAAGTTCCCGTGCAAAAACTTTAGCCACGTCTACTGAAGCTTTAACCACCTTGTATAGAAGACGTTTATTGACAATAATTATTGTAAACTACCTATGGACAAAAAAGCAACTTTGTAAATTTTAATTTAATTCCGGTATGAGTTATTATTCAGAACGACATACAACGTATCGGTGTAGCGACTGCGTTCGGGAGATCGTGCAATCCATTGCGTCTAACAAAGCTTTAAACCCTTAGTAGAATATTTTCTTTGATTCTCTTATTAACTAAAGTATTTGAGAAAAAAATTTCAGCCTTGAAGAAATAAGTCAAAAAAGTTAATTTTTTAACATCTTCCGTGAGTGGTAGACCTTTGATGGCCCCGCTTCTGACACGGTAGACTATCAATATACTGTACTTTTAGGTATAATTGATCACTCTAAAAAGTTTCACACTTGTAGGTATGACATTTACATATTATTTATTTACATGTTTGAAAAATTGTTATTAATGTTTGCCCCCACATTGGCGCGGAAGACTGACGTTCCGTTTACTTGCGACATCAAAACAACAAAATGAGAAAAATCAGCTTTGTAGGAATAATTACATCAATAGTGTCGCTGCCTCCCGGACTATACAGGCTGTTACAAATTCGCTTCTCACTTAAGAAATCTTGGAAATGGCAAGAGGTACAAAGTAGCTTAAATGGGGGCAAAGTTGCGTAATCAGCGAACCAACATTATGCCTCTAAAAAATCAAGGCTGACATGATTAGTTTTCAAAATATTTGAAAAATCCGAAATTTTGGAAATCCGTTTTTGTTTCATTTCAGCCTTGTTTGAGATGATATTGAAAAAAGAACACTTTCTCATGGCCAATTTTTACCCACTATCGAATGGCATAATCAATTTTTATATGTAACATTTCGTCTCTCCAGGACCATCATCAACTTCCATTTTTTAAATACGACCCTAGAAATTTTATTACATTTTTTGCAATCCTTCATGACCCCCAATACTGTACTGCCTCAGCCCGAGTCAGATGCAGACGTTTTGTTTTGAAAAATTCATCTTCAGTGTATTCCTTCCAAATTAATCTAAATTTTGTATTTAGATTTCTTTGTTTAATGAATTATTGTACACTGTAAGTGTAAGCTACTTCGTACCTCTTACCGTTTCCGAGATCCCTTAAGTGAGAAGCGAATTTGTAACAGCCACACATTCAGATTATTTTTTCTATTATATTCTTTAGTAGACATTCTAAAAATTAATTTAATTATCGAATAAAATAATAAATGATTCAAATGGAGATTAGAGTTAATTTGAATTTTTGGATTAATTAAAGTTTCGATTTTGGAAAATTGTTTTCAAGGAGCGAATTCTCGTTTAAATTTATTTTATTATCACAACCATTTATATTAAAATTGGAAAATTAAGCATTAACATTTACTCTTTTAAAGCCATTTGTTTTTTTAAATATCGGTTAAACGCTTTTGTAAATGATTTATCTCCAAAATTAATCAACTATTTTGGTACGTTTCAATTAACATTGACACAATCCGAATCAAATAAATTAGTATTTAAAATTCCAGATAATGATTGTCTCTTACAGGTAGAATGCCTAAAAAATTATAACGTTATAACGATACAATATATTACAAACCTTATTGTTAAATCACAAAAATAATATTTCCATCAAATCGTACAATTAAACTAACTCTAAAATATTTATAATCCCCCGACTATTCGCTGCCACGACAACGTTAGAGTTCTGTTTCCAACACACAGCCGATACGAATTCGTTCATATCATCTTCACGTCTCTCTTGTTCGAGAACGCCCTCGATAGCCTCAAACTTATAACTAAATAACTTTTTACTCAATCCTTTGTAATATACATATAGCGCGTTATTTTCTGACCCGCAAGCCACATAGTCACCATCAGTTGCCAGTCCGACGAAATTCTTCTCGTTAATGTGTCCCAAAAATGACCTGAGACAGTACGGCGTGTTGATATTCCACATTTTGAGCTGCGAATCGGTGGAAGCCGACACTATTTCTTCACTATTTAAAAATTTTACGTAACTAACAGCCTTTTTGTGCCCTTTAAAAATTGCAACTGCCTCTTTCATGTTTCTTAAGTCGTAGTAATGAACACAGTGATCGGCGCTGCCGAAAGCTAAGTGGGACGAGCTACGTGGATTGAACTTCACGCAGCACACGTTCGCTTTGGCTTCTAAAGTAGCTACAGAATGTTCTTCATTGAGGGAATACAGTTTCACTCTGGCATCGTCGGAGCCCGATGCTATTAAACGTGTGTCCACGCAGTTGAAATCCACACTCCAACATCGTTTTTCGTGCTCCTGGTATGTTTTAGTCCTTTGCCCAGTAGAAGCGTCCCAGATGGTTACAGTCCCTTCGTAGTCGCTAGAAGCTAAAGTACTTTTGTGGTACGTATTCCAGCTAACACAGGAAATTTTTGATCTGGAAACCATTTCAATGCAAGGGTAATGTATGCTTACAACGTCCTTAATTACACCGCTATAGTCAAAAACCTTTATCCTCTTCGTCACCCCCGCTATGGCAAAAAACTCATTATCCTTGTCAAACTCTATACTCGAAACGATAGTGGAATTATTAAACAAGTCACTAGAGTAGTTCAATGTTGCTAGAATTCGAAGCGAATTGTAAGTGGAAAATTTTATTAAACTCTCGCGGAATTGGTCCAAACCTGGATTTGGTTCCAGAGCGGGTTTGGAGCTTTTGTCGAGGCCTTCTTTACCGAAAAATATGTCCTTGGAACGTGTCGAGAAATAACAGTCCACAAAATCGTCAAAGTACGCGTGCATTCGTCTCCTACGCATTGCGAGTGACGTGTTAGGTCGAGAAGGGCCTTCCAAACTACTAGATTCCTCACGTCTGCCCGTGGAGGTGCCGATATTATCAATAATCTCAATCATTTCCTTTTTCATAGCATTAACTGTGGACGCATCCGTTTCGGAGGCCCCCGCAGCAGTACGTTCAACATCTTCTAGTGTTGGACATTTACTATGAACTTCCCTTAGTTTGTTGCTAACTTCTTCAATATCATATTCTATAATAGTTATTTCTTTCGCAATTTGGGCTTGTCGTTCCCGTTTCTGCTTAAGTAAATGTTTTAAGAATTCTAGTAGCAGTCTATTTTGAGCTGCGCAAGACTCGGCTTCTAACAACTGTTTGCGCTGTGTTAGGACCTCCAGCATAACGTTAACATCGGGTAGAGTTAAATTTTGTGATTCGCTGGCCACAAAATCTCTTAGACCATCTGCTGATGAAGCAAACTCCCCAGAACTGTCCCTCGTTATGCCTAAAGCATCGTAACCATTCATTCTGAGCTTGTGCTTCTTTATTAAGTCGTTAAGTAAAAAATTTGGAAATATCTGTTCCATCGCAAGAGCTGAATTACACTTTGGACAGCGCTTCTGAGATTCTATCGACTTGGTAATGCAGCTGTAACAGTAGGTATGACCACATTTGGTAATGTGCGCTTCTTCTATTAAATTAAAACAGACGGGGCATAAAAAGTCAGTGCTTTTTTCATCATAAGCTCCCCCTGTTGTTGGACGTGGTCTTTTGGGAGTTCGAATAGATGAACGGTTTGGCGGTATATTCGATCCACTGTGTGAAGATGCTGAACTACTACGCCCATCTCGGCTAGATGCCATAGCGAGTCCTTTTAAGGATGTTTAGAAGCCAACCGACCTGAAACAATTATACATACATTTATATTCTTTATCAAGAAGAAGCATAACAATAAATCAAATGAATCTTCTTCATTTATTTAGATTTATGATACAAAATTTTTCAGTTAAATAAAAGATAATTACAAAATAAATGAATAAAAATGAGTTTCAGGTCGGGGCAAAAAACAAAAATAGTAATGAACAGTGCTCATTATTACTGACAAAAAATTATAAATCAAAAGTATGAGTATGCAATTTTTATTTTTTTTTTTGGCACTAGTGTAAAATATTTATACAGTGTATAGAGATTATTACTATTAATACAATCCCACTTTTAATGACCACCTGCATATTGCGATGTATTTTCAACGTTACATTTGGTTTCATGTACATAATTTTTAGTTTGCTTATTACATCATCCATTTAGTACAACCCGATTTCACTGTCCCTTAGAATGTTGTTATATCAAAACTCCACTGTATTTATCAAACTAACTACAAATTACTTGAAAAAGGTATGAAAAAGATGCAACTTTTCTTTCATTATATACAATTTTGTTTTTTAATTCAAATAAATAAGGTTTAAACAGTAACTACATTACAGAAAATATAAACGAAAAAATAAATATATTTATATTAATGGATATATTTTAATTAAAATTAGTTTATTGTCTTAATAGTATAAGACTATTTTGACTTCATACAATAGTTGTTCCTCGATTGTTACTTATCTTATCTAGTTTAATAGAAATTAATGATTTAAATGTGAAAAATAGAAACTACAATTGGGTAGCTGTATTACATAACACCCTTCACTTTATTGTATTTTTGGTTACACATTAGTACTTATTAAAATATACTTACAGTTTAAGTTGTTCTAGGAGTCTCCCTTGAGTCTTTTTGTTGAACTTTTCAGCAGATGGTGTTAACTCAATCCCATCATTCTGTTCATTCGAATAAACACCCAATACAAGTCCTTTCTAAGAAATATACTCAGATTAAACTATAGAAATATATTTGCTGTGCTATTACCCTTTCACAAGTAGTATTTGATGAATATCTTGACAAATTCCTTATAAGATAGGATAACCTAAGAAATTTGTTACATTTTAAGGAAAGTGCCATACTTTATATTAAACGGACTCCTTGTTTTAATATACAGATTTCGTTTAAGTCATGGGTTAATTTTATAGTTTTTATAACAAACGATTAAAAATATATTTTATATCTTGCGATGTACGAAATAGAAAATCGTTCACGGAAATCAACAAAAATTGATTTTTGACAACTTTGACAACTTATATAGGAGTATTCAATTATTCAACAATCCAATCTAATCGATTAATTCGATCAAGGATTTTTGTTCGCAGCACAACTTAACTGCAGTACAGCTTAAGTAGAACAATTAAGCTGTGGTTACAGCTAAATCATTCTGGCGGCCTGCCTGTACGAATTTAGATGGGGATGTATTTTCAGATTATGACTATGACAAAACTTGCACAATCGAGTCAATTCATGTACCGGTTCCTTACATGTATCCGGATTGGAACCAATAAGTTGGCTTCGCAAAATAAATCGAATTTCCTTCATCTATCATTGAAAATTGTGTGTGAAAATGAAACACCTATAGTAGGATCATATTCGATGCAAAGTAATAAATCATTTCCTGTCAAGAGATCCAGTGCAATACGCTTTAAAGGGTTTTAGAAATTGAATATTTTCTTCATACATTATGAAGGGACGAAGGGATCAGTTCACGTCTGGCACCCTTGTTCCTACAAAAATATTCCTTTATTCTTAAAAACTATTTATTTTAAATGTAATTTATTATAAATCCAATTTGTTTCTTAAATTCCACATATGTACTACATTTTACATCTGTACGCGCCACTGTTGTTTACTTGTTTTTTGGAAGCGCTCTCTAATTTACGACCAAGCTCGCCAGGTTAGTATTTGACGTATAACCGACCAGTTCGTACACTCGATGCACCTG